CTCTCTGCTCACTGCAACCTCCGCCTCCTGGGTTCCAGCGATTCTCCTGCCTCAACCTCCTGAGTAGCTGGGACTACAGTTGTGCACCACTACGCCCAGCTAATTTTATGTATTTTTAGTGGAGACAGGGTTTGACCATGTTGGTCAGGCTGGTCTCAAACTTCTGACCTCGTAATCTGTCCGCCTTGGCCTCCCAAAGTGCTGGAATTACAGGTGTGAGCCACCGTGCCTGGCCGAGCTCTGGTGCTGTTCTTCCCCCCAGAAAAGAATCTCTAGTGTGGATTCTGCCCAGACAGGCTGACCTGGGAAAGGCACAGTGGTTCCTCCATTCCTTCCCCGTCTGAGTGTTCCAGTATCCCCCATCCCCCTCAATCCAGTCACCTGCCTTTTAGATCCAGCTCTGTTTCCCATCTCTAAGACTGAACTAGCAGCAAGAAAGATGAGGAGGCCGGGCACGGTGGCTAACGCCTGTAATCCCAGCACTTTGGGAGGCTGAGGTGGGTGGATCACTTGAGGTCAGGATTTTGAGACCAGCCTGGCCAACATGGTAAAACCCGCTGTCTGTTAAAAATACAAAAATTAGCCAGGTGTGGTGGCACACGCCTGTAATCCCAGCTACTCAGGAGGCTGAGGCAGGAGAATCACTTGAACCCGCTAGGCAGAGGTTGCAGTGAGCCAAGATTGTGCCACTGCACTCCAGCCTGGGTGACACAGCAAGACTGTCTCCAAAAAAAAAGGATGAGGAATAGAATTCTGTGCAGACGCCCTGACTTGGCAATCTTGTGTCCCTGCCTCACTGTCTCCACCAACCCCGCCTGTCGTGGTCTTGTTCTGCCTTCTGTCCTCTCTCGTCAGTCTCTGGCCTCCTCGGCCCCATTTCACCTCACTGAGTCCTGACACCCACCTCCCTAGGGGCCTGTGGGAGGAGAGGGAAGGGTTTGTTCTGCTCAGCTCCATGTCCGCTGTTTCCCTCCACAATAAACTGGGACCGGGCTAAGACGGTGTCGCATTGTTCGTGGGGTCAGGCTAAGGTGTGGGCAGGTCAACACAGATTAAAGAGGGCGCGGTGGCTCATGCCTACAATACCAGCACTTCGGGAGGCTGAGGCAGGCGGATCACCTGAGGTTGGGAGTTTTGAGACCAGCCTGACCAGCATGGAGAAACCCCATCGCTACTAAAAATACAAAATTAGGCGTGATGGCGCATGCCTGTAATCCCAGCTACTTCGGAGGCTGAGGCAGGAGAATTGCTGGAACCTGGGAGGTGGAGGTTGCGGTGAGCTGAAATCGCACCATTGCACTCCAGACTGGGCAACAAGAGTGAAACTCTTGTCTTAAAAAAAAAAGGCCCGGTCGGCCGGGCGC